TGCAAACAGAGTATGGCAAGATAACCAGTATGAAACAATACTGGCCTGGTTGCAGTTTACAAAGGCTATCGTTTTTGTTTATGAATAGAATTCTAAAATTTCTCTTTGAATTTGTCTAAAGAATGGTCTTTTCTTTTTGTATAAATTATTTTGCTATCAAAACTTTAATATTCAAAGGATTTTATTGTTACCTCTAAATTCAAAAAATATATTTTTCTGAGTAATACTTATTTTCCCTTCAATAATGGTAGTAAGCAATATTGACATATCTTTTCAACATATTTGCATTCACATATATCTTGTATCTTGTATAAGAACATATTTGTTGTTATGATATTTTTGATTATTTTGTACAGAAACCATCTTATGTTTACACTTGTATTGTATACGCCATAAGATTTACAATAACCCAATCAGTTTCTTCATATTTCTTACCCATTATTCTTTCCCACACCTCTTGATCATGACTTTTAACCCAAACAATAATTTAAAAGGGATTGGTAAAACATCTTACTTCCTTTTTTGTTTCCACAATGTTAATTATGTTAAAGGGGAGATTGGGGTATTACTTTACTGTGCCTGGATAAGATATTCCTCGTTTCTTACAGTATCTAGCAGTGGGTATTCTATATACTTTCAAATTTAATAAGATGCCACTGTATTTTTCTTCTGGAATTCAGCAAAATGACATATATAACCTCTGTCATTTAGAAGGTCGTTAATGCAGTCTACTCCTTAACTGTGCCATAAAACAAAGGATAAAACAAAGGATAAAACAAAGGATAAAACAAAGGATAAAACAAAGTTTTATTATCTACGGTAATGTTTTTGTTGTCTTCATTTTTTGCCGATTTGAAATTCACAAGTCATTCATCGTATTCTTTAACAAACAAATCAAATTTCAGGTTCATAGCCGACATCTCACCTTGAATTGCCTTTAACGTTTTCGCGATGTCGGCCATTTCTGATATACCCTGATCTGCTTGCTCGTGTTCACCTGGCAAACACTGACCTGTAACATTCCCCGCTGACAGGCTGGTTGTACTCTGCCCCCGTTGGTGTCACGTGGAAAGTACCGACCCCCGGTAGCTGATCCAGGGTTGCTTTCAACATCTCCCACATCACGTGATTATCGGCAATGTCAACACAAACAACACCACACCCGATTTCATGGGCGAGCGTTATAGCGGGGGCCCTCCATCCACGTTTCTTCACTCGTTGACAAAACCTGCCGGTTCGAGCCCTCCAAACATCAACTGACACACCAATGGCACGGTGGGAGAAGCCAAATACATTCACTACGCGATATTAGCAACAGGTTACATGTTTGAATGTTTGTATCTCTTATTTGCATATATTATCACCGAACACACGACTGTCAACACTGCTTGTCACGTGACTCGTGTTATACCATATTGATTGGTTTATTAATTCTGCCGAGTTATTTTTGTTACCATGGTTTTCCAAACTGCATGGCAACACAGTGGATACATCTTGCCAGTTTCCTTTAGAAATATTATGGGTATAATATTTCAGCCATCTATTGTGAATTCGCCAGCCATATTATATGAACATTTGGGATGAGTATAGATAGATGATCAAGCCAAGTTTTACTTTGGAATATTCTGTCCATCCGTGTAAATATTTGTGAAGCAATAATATGTTTAGCGTATGGAACACTAATAATTTAGGTGTTAACTGCATAACATTTCTTTTAATTTTATCTTTTCCTCCTTTCAAGATAAATTTAAAGCAACTTTTTTTAAAATGAATTTAAAAGTCCATCTGGTGGGCATGGAATTAAAACAAAATGATCAAGTTTTGATAATAATAAAGATTTCAGTACAACATTTTTCCCAATAGGGATTAGAATTCTTTTAGACAAACGGTTCATGTCTTTATTTCATTTTTTCTTGATAATGAAGTTGAGTCATTTCATCAATTCGACATCAAATTCAATTCCTAAAAGCTTAAATGGTGCCAGTCTCCAGTCTAGGTTCCATTCCTCACACAGCTTTATCGGGCTCTTTTTGGATCCAATCCTTATTAATGGGTTTTTGTGCATTAGTTTTTAATTCCAGAAGACCTAGCAAAAAGGTTTAGAACTTAGCAGAGGGTTTTTCTCAGTACCGTCCAATATGATGGTTGTATGATCTGCGAACTGTGGCAGTATATGTTCAATATTTCAAATTTTAATGCCCTTTATTTTTTTTTCGTTTCTTATCAATAGTGCAAGGATCTCAACACATACAATAAATATGTAAGGCGAGATAGGATCTCCCTGGCGCCATCCCCTTGTAATTTGAGAGAACTTCGCAAATAAATTTTCTAAAACAGAAGATTCCATTCCTGTAAAAAAGACTGAAATCCATTTGGTTCAAAGTTGAAAAACTTCAATACCTTCATTATAAAAGTTCTGTCAACAGAATCGAACGCTGTTTCAAAGTCAATAAGGAGAAATAACCCTTGGATTTGATGTTTCCGTGTAATCCATACTGTTATAATATATCCATTATATCCGTCAGTTCGTTATAAGCGTGTTTGTTATAAACGTAGTTTATTGTATGTCTTGTTGCCTCTCCAATTTTACCTCATTAATATTTGCAAGACATCTTTTCGGCCTCGGTTTGTCAGTCACATGATCTGATCACATGATACACACGCGACAATGAACAACATCGTAAGGTAAATAGACGCACGTGTTCGTTTAACTGCTGTCTTCGTTTAAAATATGACAGTCCATCCATGTATGTACATTTTACACATACAAAGTAAAAAGGTTCCTTTTGTCTGGAGATTCATTTCACTTTGTTTCTCGAGTCTGTATAAACCTCTGATCCAATTTAAGTGGGAAGCAGAATATGTTTTCACATATTGTGGCACATGGTACTGAAAAGCTTTTCATAGATATATTCGTCGTCGAGTGTGACATATTTCCAGGGGCATCTGAACTTTTCCGTACTTTCAGATCAAGGTCAATTCCCTTTTCCACAATTTTCGTTTGAACGTTGTATTTCTTTCTAAGTTCATAAGCTTTGCCGGCTAACTTCTTTAACTAAAGTCCGTACGTATCGATACCTTCTTTCCGCGCAGAAATCTCCCTTCCCTGGAGCTGGCTGCCAATACACTGTGTTGGTCATAAACAGAGTGGGGAATTTAGTCACTATCACTATTGTTTTGCCGTGTAGGGGTTTGTCGAATTTCGCGGAAGGCGGTGGATAGCGGCGAAAGTCGTTGGCACCTGGGATATGGAACTCGCTGAGCAGTTTTTTGCACCCCTTTTCCGGGTCTTCTGTGTACTATTCCATAGACAAGCAGGTTTGTTTTTCGCATGTAGCCTTCTTGCTGCAAAATCTTATTCCCCTATTCTGTGGTCACTGCATCGAGATCTGCACGAACTTTTTTGTATTTCAGTCTTGTTTTCTGCGTTATTTATTGATTTGTTTTTTTTACTGCGCAGGTTTGCGGCCATTTCATGGAGGATGAGATGGATTTTCTCTCATCTCGACCGGAAGTCCTTTAATGTCTTCTTGGGACACTATACACACACACAAAAAAGAAGAACACTTGTCATTACTTTCAGCTGAGACAAGAATCACCTAATTGACAAGTTTGTTTGTTTGTTGTTTAACGCCGCACTCAACAATATTCCAGCTATATGACGGCGGTCTGTAAATAATCGAGTCTTGACCAGTCAATCACGTGCATCGTGAGCATCGATCCACGCAATTGGGATACGATGATATGCATCAACCAAGTCAGCGAGCCTGACCACCCGATCCCGTTAGTCGCCTCTTACGACAAGCATAGTTGCCTTTTACGCCAAGCATGGGTTGCTGAAGACCTATTCTACCCCGGATCTTCACGACACTATAGGCAAGTACATTTCCATTCATCACATGTTGCTCTTTCATGCTTTATATCCTGAAAGATAAGAGTAAACTTTCCTGCTTTAGTTTCATAAAAGTTTGATCAACAGTTGAAGTTGAGTTTGTGAAGATAGCCAATGATATTATTCAGTTGAACTCCCATCAGCCAATACTACATCAGGGAAGTGTATATCTGTAGTCTGGGTGTAATAAAGGTTCGTCATTATACTATTGTCAGACCCAAATAGTTACAAAACTGAGATTGTGTATTCAACTAATACTTGAAGAGGAAACATAATAGTAATATCTTCAGGACAAATGCACGAATCCAACTTGGTTTTCTAATACCGACTATACCGATATCTCAGGAATATAGGTGATCAAACCGCAATATACTGACAATATCGATTATGTGCACTCATCACTTTTGACACAGCAGTTATCACAGCTCAGCCAAACGCAACTGTTGAAAACATAACTGGACACTTCAACAAGCACAAGCACTTCAACAAGCACACATGTATGCCCACACGTCTCATGAAGTATATCACCACTATTGCTGTACATGAGTGAAATCCACAAACAATTATACCAGTGAATAATGTCTGTGTCTGACCAGTGACGAGTATTTCAAGTAAATATTTTATAGCGGCGTGACCAGACAAAAATAATGGTAAATATCATCAGCAATGGTCGACGCCATCCGTTTACGATGCCACACACTCCTCCCCCATATCCATTCCGAAAATGATGTCTGATGCAGTTTCCTATTTTGAATGGTATCTTATGTTCCCGTGTTTCTTCAGCTGAACACTTGACTTGCCTTTGCATGTGTTTGTCACGGGAGCATCGGTGGGTCAGGTTGCGCTCCATTTTTTTGGCGAATACCTTGTACCCCCACAGCTAGTATTTGATAGTGTGTCATAAACACATGTTTGTGATATAGTGAAATCGTACAATGGACTCTACTTTTAACTGAATTCTAATGATAATGGCATTTTCTATTCAAACTCCTTCCTGACGGAAACCTGATATTCCTATTTCCGTAATGTTCTGCCATGTACGAAATATGAGCAATATGAGCGTTGTATTTGCTTTGCATATGCAAATTTGAATGAATAATTGCAACTGTAAGTTTTTAAATCGTGTTTATTCCGTTGTCAAACAGACAATGTGTTCAACTAAAGGGAACTAACTCTTGTTTTTCCTTGTATTTGGGCTTGAACCGTTGCCTTCACAGGTTTAGTATCAAATTTTCCCAGCAAGTAGGGGAATAAGGTTAGCTGAAAATAAAAGAAACGATGTTATTAAATTGGAACTGGAAGTCAGGACACGTGTGATACAGATACAATAAATCTCGCGGAGTTTTAACCCCCAACACAGTGTTAGTATTGGCGATCAAGACGTTAATGATTGAGATTTTATTCCACTTTTATCAATATTTGAGGAAGTTCACGGCACCGACATTTAACAGAAGGGAATAAAATATGGTACCCATTTTGGGAATCGAACCTCTAGTCGCTAAGGCACACGATTATTTCTCTACAACTGAAACAAGGTGAAATGGGGTTTAACGTCACATTCAAGATGGTTGCATTTATACAATGGCGTGCAAGCGAGCGCGTGTGACAATAACTGAAATCACAATAATTGGAATCGGAGTAAGGTTTCTGATATTAATGATAATAACTTGATATTCAGATGACGATTTGTATGCATCTTGTAGCTTTCATAACTTTATCAACTGTAATTCAAACGAAAGACCATTTGGAGGCTGTTTTCAAATTGTGTGATCTGCGGTTCAAAATAATTTTGTCAGTGGAACTGAAGGGGGGGTAAGGCAAAATTTGGTTGTCAGCAAAGTTCTAGCTGTATGACGGCGGTCTGTAAATAATCGAGTCTGGACCAGACTGTCAAGTGATTGACATCAAAAGCATCAATCCACGCAATTGGGATGCGATGACATGCCTCATCCAAGTCAGCGAGGCTGACCACCCAATTCCGTAAGTCGCTTTTTACGACAAGCATGGATTGCGGAAGACCTATTCTACCCCGGATCTTCACGGGTAGCCACAGAAATATATATCATATAGGGTAGTATATGTTGGCCAAAGGTTGATAACACTTTCCCCTACACAGTCGTACCAAATGAAAACAATGACATTCAGAAATATGAAGGTTTATGCGTCCCGTATTATAAAATAAATCATGAATGCTATTAATATTTGTCGTGTCGGGTTGCATCAAAAAGTAAAACTTCGGAATGGAAAATAACTTGGAACCAATGGCACCGGAAGCGACTATATTTGCTCAAAATAAACCAATGTCTTAAAGTCTTTTATTATGAATTACGCGGCCTACATGTGACCTTTACGTCGTACAAGGAATGTAAGAGTGAAGCGTACCTTTGATCTCCTGCTCTGTCAGACATTCACACGTTAAACAGTTGTTGGCATCACGCTTGTAGCCCCGCGGACAGGGCACCAGACAGCGGAGTGGTGGACACGTGGTTTCCTGGGCCTCGGCCACGTGACCTGTACAAGGAATCACTGGATAAATGGACATATCGGCGAGTGCATAAAAGAAAAACGCAACAAAAAACCCCGATCAAAACACCCCAAATAACCAATTAAACAAATAAACAGTAAATCTACCCATATTACATCAAAACTCAATGATGATGTTTATCGCTAGATAAAAGGATATTTCTTGAAAACCGCACTTAGCATTTTTTGTATTACTGTAAGTAATATACCTTAACGTCGGAATGGCGTGTTTTCACTTTAGAGTGAGTGAGTGAGTGAGTGAGTGAGTGAGTGAGTGAGTGAGTGAGTGAGTGAGTGAGTGAGTGAGTGAGTGAGTGAGTGAGTGAGTGAGTGAGTGAGTGAGTGAGTGAGTGAGTGAGTGAGCCGCTTTTAGCAATATTCCAGCAACATCACGGCGGGGGACACCAACAATGGGCTTCACATACGTGGGAATCGAACACAGGTGACGAGTGAGCACTATCCACTAGGCTACTCTACCGCTCCATGATGGTAAAGGCTACATTTTCCATCAGAAATCTATGACAAAAACGAAACAGTTTGAATGCTACTCACCACACACAAGAACGGCGACGACAGCGAAAATGACAGCAACTCCCTTCATGATTGACAACTATAGACACGATATCGACAAGCAATCGAGAAGATATGGACAAGTGGCTGTAGTTGATTGTTTGTTTGAACATATTTATACACCTGGTCCTTCTAATTAGCGTAGAAAGATGAAGAATGATATGGAATTAAAACGGGTGTCGCCCGAGGGTTCATTTGTTTCAGCAGCTGGAATTCGGAATTGTATACAATCATACACGGGGATAGATAACATAAAGCTGCTATGCTATATATTCACTAACCTTCCCCGCAGTTTCACAAATATGTTCTAGCAAAAGTATGAAAAGATATACAGTAGAACACGGCTATAACGAACTACAAGGGACCAGAGAAATCAGTTCGTTATATCCGTTGTTCGTTATACTCGTTTTCGCTCGGAAACGTCCGCCATCTTGGGTAAGACAAAACATAGATTTTCCAATGACAGACATACTATTTTACAGACAATATTACATGTACAGGTAAGATTAACACAATGCAAATTTAACAAGGTTGATCCGTCACCGCTGATTGTATTGATTCGCCGCTGATTGCATACAGCCAATTGTCAGTGACACTTGACACTGAGTGAGATTTCTCAGTTCGCTATACACGTCACTAATTAGTGATAGATGGGTTTGTCGGTGATCAGATATCAGTTCGCTGTTTCCGTTAGTTCGCAGTAAAGACCTACACACCCTAAGATGCCTAACTGGCTCTAACTGGGGAGCCTCGAAAGATACCCTCCTCTCTCTCTACATATCACTAATTAGATCAAAACTAGACTACGGCTGCGCCATATACAACACCTTAAACAACTCTCTATCTAAAAAACTTGACTCAATACAATATCAGGCTCTCAAACTAATTACACGCACCCAGCATGGCACCTCCTACACTTCACTTCAGGCCTTAACAGGAGAAATGCCACTAAGTCTACGCAGGGAACAACTAAGCTTAAATTTCTGGGCCGCGTCCCCATCAAACCCTCTCATCCAAAACTTAATAAACCAAAATATCAGCCCCAAAAACCAAGCTCTAGCTCGTAAACACCCCTTACTTACCCCAATATCCCAAAGAATAACAAACTACCTAAATGAACACCAAATTAAAAATCTTAAACAAATCTGCAAACAATCAAATATCTTCACCCCCAAACTTAAAATACCCAAAATAGACACAACACTAGCTAGCCAAATAAATAAACAAACCGACCCAAACATAGCTAAAACCACCACACTAGCATACATACACGAAAATTGGCCAAATTGGTGTCACATTTACACGGACGGATGTTCAGATCCGACCTCCAAACACACACAGTCCATACCACACAACCAACTAAAACCACACAATCCTTCCGACTCCCAAACAACCAATCAATATTCACGGCAGAACTAATGGGCAGGGCCTCAGCCCTTCATAATCAAGAATCCAAAAACCACAAAAAAAATCCTAATACTTACCGACTCCTTAAGTGGACTGCAAGCCCTCCAAAACAAAAATACCAAAAACCGACCTAAATTAATAAATCAAATACTTAAAAGCTCCAACGACCTAACTAAGGCAGGCAAACAAATAACCTTTTTGTGGATACCCGCCCACGTAGGAATATACGGTAATGAAAACGCCGATAAGGCAGCCAAACTATCCCTCAAAATCCCCGAAATAAGCTTTAACTTAACCATCTCAAAATCAGAAATTAAAAGCGTAAACAAGCAAAAAATCACCAAAAAATGGCATAACCTATATCTAAACTCAAATAGCCAAATAAAAAAAGTATTTAGCAAACCACTAACCAAACCAAAAATTCTCCATCCATCAAAAAAAATCGACAGAGTAATCACTAAACTTCAAACAGGACACACCAACTTAAATAACCACCTCAAAAAAAATATAAAAACACACCACAGGTAGCTGCCCACAATGTAACAACTAGAAACCCCAGAACACGCACTCATCCACTGCACACACTACCTAACACATCGAACCGCATTACAAACCACCCTCAATCTAAACAAGGCTCTCACTCTAGAAGCAATACTAAACCCACAAAATAAACTAGAAAACTTCAAGGCCTTAGGCGTATTCTTAATCAAAACGGAACTAATAACACGCATCTAAAAACACTATAATCTACCAAATCAAAATCACATAAACAAACATCCACCATACCCAGCTCCCGGAGTTCTCTCCCCCCCCCCCCCCCCCCCCCCCAAACCCCATCGGCATCCATTCCAAATCTCAAAATTCCCAAATTCTATATAAGCAACCACTTTCGCCCTTTTTCGGAAACACATTAAATGGCCCGGCCGGGCCCGTGTGCGAAATACGCATCAGTCGGAAAGCGCACGTTAAATCTCCAAAGTAAGTAAGTAAGTAAGTTAGTTCGCTGTAGAGAGTTCGTTATGTACATACATTTTATATGATATTATATAGGAGATCAATTGGGGATTTTATGCTTCCTTCATATTATAAGCACTAACAAAGTAAAATGCTACACAAGAAACAAATGTTAATGAAAATACAAGAGACATTTACGATGTCAACCAACATGTACATTTGTGTATAGTATTGTAAGCAGTGTACCTTTTTTTTTTTTATAGATGTCTTTTATATCTTTCTAGACCCGGGCTCGATTCCCTACATTGGAACAATGGGTGCAGCCCATTTCTAGTGTCCCCTGCCGAGATATTTCTGGAATATTGCTAAAAGCGGCGTAAAATCATACTCACTCACTTATTATATTTTTATACTGTAACTCTTCTTAATATTGCAAAATGATCAGGCGAACTTTTTTGTATCCTCCACTGAACACACCTTTATGGTTGATAACTAGAAACGAAGGCCTAAATAATTTATTTAAGTTTTAGTACAAGCAAAATGTTCACATAAATGTTATCTAGAAATAGTTGACTTCAAAACGTAAGCACTAAGATGTTCGTGTTTACTTGCATTTAACGCACAACGTTTCTGTCGTAATATGTCTTCGTCAAATGGTCCTCTGTGATAATGCTTCCAAGAAGCTAAGACTTCAGCTTCCCAATTGCCACTTGTAATTAAAACCCTCGCTAATGCACTGAGCACTCTTTGTCCACGTTAACGATCTCTGACTTTGTTTTAATACTCCACAGTGATACCGAGCGCCTGCAGAGATGAAGTTAGTAATATGTCCTTGTATTTCCACTGTGTTTCAGAAGGTGTGGTTGAGAATTGATGCCTGTATGGTCATGAAATGAAATAAAATGACAAACATTTAAAATGGTACAATTTCCTCCTAATTTCTGTACCTGGAAATTTAAGGGAAATGTGTCATTTCTAACATTTGAAATAAGGTTTGAAATTGTAAACTGTCCAAATTATTTCAACTTGTATGCACCATCTTCCCGAGGCAAGAGAGTTAACTGACTTTAAGAGTCCAGTTTCCACCCTTGCCGAACTAGGCTGGAATTCCTGGGTTCGATCGTAGCGCCACCACTGGCTATTACCAGTTATGTCCCGTCTAAGCCTCGCCTATGGACCAATCAGATTCCACCTCTCGTATCACTTGCGTTTGCTTCACACAAAATGGTGGCGCCCAGTCAAGACGATCTGATGGATAATCAAGATCTATATTGTGATAAAACGGGTCTTACATCGCGAAATGCATTAAATCACGTGAGCACATTGATTAAAAACATGAAAAGATTTGGAAAATATCTATTGACAACGAGTTGGCGGTGCACATGCTTTGCAAATCCTGCAATCGACCGAAATCTGCACGACAGTTAACGAACCGGATTTCTATTTCGGTGCGCGATTTTGATTGGACTATGCATAGACTCGTTAGTCCAGCCAAAATATAACTCCATAATACCAGCCTAGTTCGGCAAGGGTGGAAACTGGACTTTATAGTTAACTCTCTTGCCTCGGGAAGATGGTATGCACATGCACATACATGTAAATGTCATTAATGTGGTTTTGTATCGCTACCCATGTAAATGTACATGACTGCGTTTCTTCAACACTTCAAAACATTGACAAACTAGGTATACATGTACAAGTCCCGTTAATCCGACATGGTTGGTTGCATATGATTATGTCGGATTAACGAAATTAAGTAGCATCAACGTTTGTGATCGAAAATCGACAACTACACGATAGATAACGATACAAAGACGTTGTAATGAAAAAGGAAAAAGAATTATTCATATTGTTATGTTACATTGTTAGCGGAATGTGTTTTCTGATCATGCAACCTCCAAAGCTTAACACAAAACGTCTGTTACGGGTTGTATGACTTGTATACTTTTAAAAGCATTATCTGGAATGGAAGTCGCCATAAATATAACCAAATAATTTGGAATAAAGTAAACTACGTTTAAGCCGAACACACGGATATAACGAAGTTAGTTTTTGGTCCCGACCATTTGCTGTATATATGCTGTATATATTCTAATGACGAACTACGGTTATAACGAACTCAAATATCTTGTCCCTATGAGTTCGTTACAACTGTAGTTTACGGTACATGGAAATGAGTGGATCTACATTAATACCAACTCTATTCCAAACCTGAGGAAATCGGCTTCTTGTGTCTAGTGGTATCATCTCTACTTGACAGTGATTCATAAAGACATGTCGGGCACGATGGCCAAGTCGTCTGCGTGCATTTCGAATCCCGGTTCGCCCCGATTATGTTTCTAGGTTTGTCAGCACCATACCCGTGCTCGTCGGTTTCACCGAAGTGGTAAACATCTGAGACCTGCATCACTTCGGGCTTTCCTCCCACATTAAGCTGACACGCCGTGATATAACTGGAATACTGTTAAAAGCGGCGTTAAACCCAACTCACTCACTCACTCATAAAGACATGCTCATGACAGAGTCGGAATCGTACACTCGACTCTGCTTTAACCTGGGATTTCTTATGACTATGGAAAGGATTTTGTCGTTTTTGTTTCCATGTGTATAACGTTCCCAATAGTCCAGAAAGCGAGGTGTCCGGATAAATGAGGTTTTCCTGCCCCAGTTTCTGAAGCTGTAATGTTCGACATATCTACCTGGTTTCCTTGAACAAACATCCACTGCACAGTGTGGCGACACAAGATCC